TACTTTTTAGTAAAAATTTGAAATAGATTCAACATCCTTCATTATAAACCACAACCACAAACAAACCATCATTTATGAGTTTGGTTTCCAAGAGTGTGTTCTTCAATCATTAATCATGTGACAGTCATGAGAGTTATCTGAATAAATTATTGATTGACTTATATGGACATGCTGAGTGTATGTATAAATATATATATATATATATGTGCCACACATTTCAAACACAATTATAATAGCCTTGCTTACGTGTACAACTACCTATCAGAAACTCAAATAGTAACTGGTAACCTACTTATATTAACTTAGGCAACAAGCTGACATTCATTTTTGTAGATACATTTTATTATTCAATAGCCAATACTAGCATGTATAAATATATAAATATATATAAACGTATATGTAAGATGATCTATTTGACATCCCCAAGTACAATGTAGCTGTAAGGATGAAGCCCTAAGCAATGTCTTTAGTTTTAGTTTAAGTTTAGTTCTTCTTCAAGAGGGACTAAGAAAAGAATATATTTCCTCTATATAAAATTCACATCTTACTTTTTCTTCTTTTTTTTAATGTATAAAACCCATATTTTATAAAGGACTCATCTTGAATAACATATAATATTTCAAAATGTATATATTCATATACTCAAGGATCTATAACAATCGAAACATTCAAGTCATAATCAGTCCTCTAATTACTACTCAATAAAATTATATTTAGACTACAAATCTTAGAAACAACTAAGCATCACTAATTGACAAAACTTGAAACTAACGACACGGATCATACTCTTAGATTAGTTTAGTTTAACATATCTAACTTTCATTCCAAGTTTAGATTTCCATACAATTAATTACTCATAAACCATTACTTTAGAATTTGTACTTAAAACTAAATTATCAACAACCTAAAACACAAACTCAATAGAAAGATTTTCATCCAAGTAAGCATAAAACCTTACCTACAAATTACCCGGCCTTTCATAGTTTAGAAACTGATTCAGGACATGAAACGAGCCCGCGACCGCCAAGTGACCTTGTAAACTTGACGGAGCCACTGCCACCACTGCGCCTCCACTGCACGTCAGCGAAACTTTCGCGAAGACCACCACTGCAAGATCTTGATAAGATTAGTCTCCATAGGCCACCCACGTGCCACCAAATGCTGAGAGCAGCCGAATCGGGCCTCTAAACGCGTTGCCGACACCTTTTGTTCTGGTAGTTCGCCAGTGTATCTGGTGGTGTGGCTAGTCAGAAAAGAGAACTGAGGCTGAGATGATTTTATTCCAGCTCTTTCCGATGGAGAACTGGTTTAAGCCGACCGTTAAATAAATAAAAAAAAAAACCTAAAACCAATGGCTTCTTATTCAACAAGGAAAAATTTGTTTCAAAAACTCCATGATTATGCAAAAAGTGGACAGCGAATGCTTCATAAATTAGAGCTTTAAGTTTAGCGCCCAAGTTCGTAAATGTAGAAATAAGGTGATAAATGCTGAGAGCAGCCGACTCGGGCCTCCAAACGCGTTGCCAACACCTTTTGTTCCGGTAGTTCGCCAGTGTGTTTGGTGGTGTGGCTAATCGAAAAAGAGAACTAAGGTTGAGATGGTTTTATTCCGGTTCTTTTCAATGAAGAACTGACTTGAGCTGACCGTTAAATAAAATAAAAAAAAAAAACTTAAAACCAACGGCTTCTTGTTCAACAAGGAAAAAACTGTTTTAAAAACTCCATGATTATGCAAAAGTGGACAGCGAATACTTTATAAATTAGAGCTTTAAGTTTAGCGCCTAAGTTCGTAAATGTAGAAAGAAAGTGATAAAAAATTGCGGTGAGCGTGGATCGAACACGCGACCTTCAGATCTTCAGTCTGACGCTCTCCCAACTGAGCTATCCCCGCTAGATGTAACATGAGCATCACTTTCAATATTTATTTTTAATTTCCTATGTTGCGTGAGCCATTTAAATTATTAGGAATGACGTTGACAAAATATGTTAAACTAATAGCCATTAAACCAAATGAGCAGTTCAGATAATCTTTGTATTAAGATTTTCAAAACTTGTTTTGAGAAAAAACCCCTAGAAAAATCTATTCTATATATTTTGTATGTGAAAGTAATAATTAGAATGTGATATTCTTATTTTTTTTAAATAACGTTTAAATATAAAAAAATTTAAATAAATTCTTAATTTAAATGTGATGTCAGTGTAAATATGCCATAAAATTAACTCTAATCTTTGTTATGTTCATAAGAAAACAAATTTAAAAAGATTTACACAGAAAATTAAAAAAAACAAAAAAAAAGAAGTTGAAAAACATGATTACAGTGCAAAATTCTCATATTTTTTTATTAATTAGAACAAATGATGGTAAATTGTTTGATAATTTATTTTAAGATTTCAAAATTTTCTCAATATTATTACCATTTGGGTAGAAAAATATATTAACAAACTATATCTCATTTGAATTATCCAAAGCAGGCTTCCATTAATACTTAAACAATAGCTAACTTAGGTGTGTAATGAGAGAAAAATATTTGCAGTGTGTAGACCACAAATTTCTTATACAGTTACTCTATATAGGCGCGTGTGTATATATATATATATACATATAACATTATACGTTTAAATATTTTAATTAAAAAATAAAATAAAAATTTTAAATATATATAAAGTAAATAATAAACCCTAAAACCTATCTAACCCACACATTTGACTCAACTTCACAGCCACCTTTCCATTTCTTCTTCACAGTCAACTATCATCAATTTTTATTAATGTGTACTTTCTTTTCACAAAAGAGTTTAAATAGGCAAAAAATATATATATATACGACAAATCAATAAAACTGTTTAAGCACTCGTGAAGCAAAAAGCAAATGAATATAGAAAGAAAGAGGGGGGAAAAGCTTGGAGAAAGGCAACTGAGAAAGAAATAGAGACCCAAATGTGAAGCTCAACAGGAAACCACAATACAAACCTACATAAATGTAATTTTCTTCCTCTGACGACTCTGCATCTTTGAGGGAAGGATTGTGATAGATTCTATAAGATGAAAATGAAACTTGTTCAACTCACCACACAGGCTGAAGGAGACTTGAAAACTTTACAAAGGATTACACGTTGTGCTTGAAAGAAAACTGCTCACCTTTTGTATCGCATATTCACGCAAAAATACAGGTCAAGGAGCCGGGGATACAAAAAAATACTAGATATATGGCGAAACTAAGCTGCCATCTCCGATAGATAACACGTAAATAGTGTCACTGCATCCTGCAAACGGTTTGACCCAAGATCTTCAGGAGTGGGAGCACCAAAGACAGTATTGAAGCAGTCTAATTGAGTTGCATAAGCCGGGCCCTCACTGATACCAGAGAGCAGTAAATCAGAGATCTCCTCAGCCATTCTTGAATAAGCCACTCTGCAACAAATTTTGTGTACCATGTTGATTTAATCAAATAAGGTATTGCCAATAGAACAAGTAATTCTGTGCAAATTTATAGGACTAACCCAAAATAGTCTTGGTAAATACAAATTTTAACATTTTTTTCTAGACATAACAACACAATGTACAATTACTTGTCTCACTTAAATTTTATATTCTGTTTTAGTATATTAAAATTTTATTTATAAAATTGTTCTATGATTTGTCAACTAATATATTAATTAATTAATTATTATTAATCACTGGAGTGAGAGTAAACATAAAAGTTATCAAACTTAAATTGAAATTATAAAAATTTAACAAAACTAAAATCAACGTGGCTGGAAGTCTACTACTTGAAGAATAATTTTATAAGTATTTTCACAAAAGTGTACAATCAATTTAAAAATCGAAGAATCACAAAAGAGAATATAAATTAAAGTGCATGAAATAGAGGAATTCTAGTATTAGCGTTCTCCATATTTATGAGTAATAGTTGAGAAATTAAAGGTTGTGCTTTCTTAAACAAATTGAAATAATTACATAATTTTTTTTCTTGTTCTTTTTCTAATTGATTTTCAAATTTTGGAGAAAAAAATAAAATTATTTGTAAATACTAAAACCAAACCTAATTGATTAGCTCTGTAATTTGGTTTTACACTCAAATTTCAGTAATTTTGTTTCTAGCATACCGACTTTCAATCCTGCTCACAAGCACCCTAGTAGACAGTACTTACTGCTACTAACTATCAATTACCTTCTTAAGTAGTTCCCAATGTTACTTGCTACTGAGCACCCGATCACGTAGTAACTAATGTTACTTAACTAGCAAGCAGCTCTATCAAATAGTGCATAATACTTCCTAACAACTAAACAACTTATCAAGAGCAACTTATCATACCTAGATACCCGGATAGGCACCTAATACTAACTTAGTACACGAATACCTAAGTCTACTTGGTTTGCTCAAGTCAGCACCTTAAGCACCTGGAAAAACTATCATCAACATGAAACACGATTCCTACATTTACGGAGTAAACCATTCATGTTCCCCACATTCAAATTCTATATAGATGTGAATAATTAGGCTTGAGTAACTCCCTGTTATGATCTTGAGACCTGGATCTTATCACCAAGCAGTTCACCGAATAATCTGATTTCGGATCTTGCTTCTTTCACTTGTTATGATTTCTTGAGCGACCTATTGTGAATTATTTCCAAACTCATCAAAGGGAACTTGGCACATTGGATCTCGTTAGAGAGAGCTCCCATCTCTATATTGTAATTATAATCTTGTTTACATCTTTATTAATTTTAAAATCTTTTAAATAGGATTAGATGCATTACATTATAGGAAACTTTTATTATTTAGGTTTCTTATAACAAAAATCAAAGAGATTTCTAATTTAGAGATAAGTCTCCAAAATAAAAATTAAATTTCTAAATAAGAGAAAAATTTCCTAACTAAGAGATATATTTTTAGAATATGATAAACCTTAACCATATAATAAAAATTAATTCTTAAATGAGAGATAATATGATAGGATCCCCCGAAGATCTCAGATCCCTATCCCCAACCCAATATATGGGAACTTAGGACTCGGTCCTCCATGAACGTGACCAGCTTATCCGAGATTTCCTCCAACAACTATAGCTATGAGAAGCAACGGGAACCAGTCAACTACCACAATCTGTTCCATTGCAACTACCCACCATGATCTGCTCACTACTCTATCCATTAGCAGCATTTACATACATGTAATTTCCTTTTTATCCGGTACGTAGAAGTAGGTGATTTCAGTTAAACTCTTATTTATTTAAAGAAATCACCATGAATGAAAAAGCAAATCAAAATTTATTCTAAAATTCTGGGTTTGTTTCTCACCTCAAGCAGAAATAATCAAGTCAAGAGTGTGCCCTCTAATTGGGACCTATCAGTGGTATCAGAGCCTGAACATCATGGCATCTAATAAAGAAAGAATCGAAAATCTGGAGGCTGGGCTCAGGGGACCATCCTTACCTCAAAAAGCTGGACCAGTTAGCCAAGGACCAACCAAATGGGCCATATCATTCCCGAAATGGGTTACTCTTTTACAAAAACCGATGGTACTTCCTCCGAATTCAGGAATAATCTTACAGTTGCTCCAAGCCTACCATGACTCCTAGCTGGGAGGACATTCAGGAGTTCTCCGCACTTATAAGCGGCTCGCCCAATAGTTTTACTGGCCCTCCATGAAGAAAGTAGTACAGTCATACGTAACTACCTGTGAAGTCTGTCAACGAACCAAATCCGAGACCTTATCCCCAGCAAGGCTCCTTCAGCCCCTCCCGATTCCTTATCAGGTATGGAATGATA